ATCCGTATGCCAACTGCACCCCTCCTGTTAATCAAGTATCACATCAATCAGCATCCAGGACATAATTGTCTAAAACATACAAAAGTGTCAAATGTTTTTTGATAATAATAAAAATGTCTATTTTAAGGACAAAAAACAATGTTTACTCATATTTGCAAGCCAACCATAAAGATAAGCATCCTCACAGAAGAGCAAGTATAGGCTGGCATACTTTTGCAGAATAGCAATGTCAGCACACTGCATGGTCAGCATAAAGAATAAGAGGGAAAAAAGGGTCTAGGATAACAAAGTTTCACATCCTACAGAACACCATGTAAACCACGACAGATATCTCAATTACAATGGCTGCTTTTCTTTTAATAGATACAGCTCATGAAGTTATAGTTAAATATTAATTGACCCCTAAGAACTGTTCCAGATGAACTATTGAAGAGTTTTCGAGCCAAATAATTGGCATCAGCATTTTGTCCCAGTGAGGAAGAAATTCATGCTAGGGAAGCATTGGTTTCGAGTCTATGGTTGGTTCCTTGAAAGAGGGGTGAGGCCCTGTAGCGTTGGTTTCAGGTTCTAATCATACCATTCATAATAAGATGAAGGGTCCTTGGATGTGTGGCAGAATCGGGCATTTAGAAAGGCTGTTGGACTTCAGGTGTACTTGCAATATCACAATCTCTCTGTGAGTGAGCTGGCTGGCATAGGCTAAGATTTTGAATCTAGAGCATAAGTTTTTCAATGACATATCACAATCTCTCTGTGAGTGAGGTGGCTGGCATAGGCTAAGATTTTGGATCTAGAGCAGAAGTTTTTCAATGTCTACGCATTGGGAGAATGAGGTGGCAGATAAGGTGGTGCCTTTATTTTAGTCAGAGTTCTTTTTCAGGGGGCAGCATTTGTTATTGTCCTAAGAGTAATGCAAGCATAGGCAAGAGCGGAGGTGGTTTACAGGTTCTGCTGGACAAGCAGAGAGATGCTGGCAATCCACGACCCTCTCGTGAGGTTGATAATCCAAATGTTGCGAAGCCTTAAGGATCAGAAATTTTAGTAGGGTAGCTTCACCTAAGGTGGGATCTAAATTATCTAATCAGGATTATGAATTTGGAAGGTAAAACCTCAAGGAAGTAGATTAGGAGTATGAGTGCAGAGGTATCTTCAGATGGTAATGGAGCTCCGCTCATCAGCTTAAGTTGGGACTACTAGAAAGGTTGCAACAAGGGCAAAATGCACTTCCCTGCAGGAACCAACTGGAAGCTTTGGCACCAATCTGGAACTGCTCCAGCAAGGCTGGGCTGGAAGAGGGGAAAGTTGCAGCACAGATATGCGAGAACCAAACTCAAGTTCTGGAAGCTAATGCAAGTCCACTACAACAAGCCACCAGTGCAATTGTTGAGCCAGAATTTAGGATGAGAGTCGTTTAGAATTGGGTCTGGTAATTCACGATCACATCCCTTGTGCCTTAATATTTGGTGCAAAAATTCGCCATTCCAAGATCAGGCTCCACCCAAATATCCAATTGCCTGGGATCCATTGTCATGTTTATGAACTTGGGGGGGGTATAGGGGTGAAAACAGGTCGGATCAGGCCCTACCCATGCTTAAAATATAGTGGAGGTGGACCAGATCCTGACCCGGGGTAAGCTGCAAATCCCAGATCCAACCCAACTGGCTCTGGGGTTCCAGGTAGGGTGGGTCAGACCCAACCCAATCATCCACAAATTTGGAATGAAATCAATACAATCCAACAAAAAAAGGTCCAAAAATTGATATAATCCAACAAAAACCATCTAAAAACTGATACAAAATCAAAAAAGAAGAGAATTGATACACCAAACAAGGAAATTACACAATCCAACACAAAAGATTGATTTACGTAAACATGACTAGAAAATTCCAAACTGTGATGCAATTTTTCTGAAATTTTGTAGAAAAAACATGAGATTTATAGTCTTGATATAAACAAAGAATTACCGATTTTGAGAAAAAATGCACGAGATTTACAGTCCTGATAAAAATTCAGAGACTTACAGATTAACATATATTTGCAGACTCAGAGAGAGATTTATTACAGATCGAGTGAAAGAAGAACGTGAAATCCAAAGAAAACCTTACAGATTCAAAAAGAGCATGATGAGAGAGAGAAGAGAGTGATGTCAGAGATAGACATAGCTCGATGAGAGCGAGAAGAGGCTGTAGATGAGAGAGAGAGAAAAGAGAGCTCAATGAGAGAGAAGAGATTTCAGATCTTACTCAATGAAAGCTAGAAGAAAGACTGTGGATGAGAGATAAACAGAGAGATAGAAAACATGCCCTAGCTCAATGAGATATATTGGTGCCCTAGCTCAATGGGATACAGATACCCTAGTTCAATGAGATTTCTCACCTTGACTCCTGAGAGCTCCTCAAATCAGAAGTGTGGTCTGGATTCCCCCATTCTCTTAGAATGGAATAAAATAAATTCAATATGATCTCTGTCCTCTCTAAGCTTAATTCTGTGAAAGGTTAAGAGAGAGAGGCTTTGAGCAATTGACCTTGTGCAATGGATAAAGAGAGGGAGGAGGTTGGCTAGGGTTAGGGTTTTTCTTTATTCTCTCCTCTCAGTCCTCTGTTTGATTACAAGTCTAGTGATAGGTTCTAGTTTGATGGTTTTTGAGCTTTGAGTGTTTCTGTCAGAGTTTGGGTGTTTCCATATGATTTTTGGGGTCTTAAACTTAGAGACCAATAATTAGATTAGTAAAACATAGTTTTGCGTTTAAGTGTTTAGGTTTTTCTTGATCGAGCTAGAGAAAGATAATCAGGTTGAAAAAAGTTTTTTCCGGGTTAAGTTAAAATTTTTAGGTTGGATAATTAGGTGGGTTATAATTTTTTTAAAAAAACAATTAGAAAAGTATAATGTACAATATAAACTGTATTATAAATTTTATAAGTTTCATAATTAATTAATCATCGGGCCTAGGAGGGGGTCAGCCAGTCAAGATTACCAGGCCTAGGAGGGGTGATGAATGGGGTCGTTTAGAATCATTGCTTCAAATGTAACTTGTTTGATCCATATCTTCTTGACTATATCTAAATAGTACCAATGCCTTGGGAGACCAGTATCTGACGTTGTGAATGCGGAATTGTAAAGTTATCTCTGTATTAGCTAATTTGTCCTTGCATCGTACAGGGGTGTGATCCTATGCTTTCTGGTTTTATGTGTGTATGGCTCCCTTGGTTCCTATTGACCTTAGATCGCTTATTTACAGTACTCACCAGAACTTATCAATATTGAGGGCTAAACCCCTCTAACAACTGGCGATGTGTGGAGCACAAGAGACGGTTGACCACCCACTTGCATGCTCTCCATAGGTTTGATTTATTTTTTTTTACCTTTGATCTCTTCAAAACTCGGTAATACCAACAGACCATGGGCACACCCCTTTTTCCATGGATTGGGTAAGGGACCTAAAAAGGGAGGAATATGTGTACAACATGCCCTTGCACTATCGTCTTGGGCATTTTAAAGGTAAACAACCATCAAAACCTTGATGGCATACTTACTCATGTCACAGGTATCATTCTAAGCAGATTCAAGACAAAATGATCTACTGCGCCCCTAGCCCTCATTAGCTGCTGGATTTTCAAGTTCAAGATTGTGGATAGGCCTCCAGGACTGCACCATGGTAAGCCCAAGAATTTTCAACATGCTGGATACCTCTAATAGGGCTTTGCAGCTCAATTTTAATTGCACTCTTTTGGCAAACCTGGCTCAGCAACAAAATGGACAGGCGGCCTA